CTAGACCATTGCTCTATACCAATGAGCCATCACGCCTCCTTCTTTAAATTATTCATATTTATCTCCACCTTTAGTATACCTAACAAACAAGCATGTTCCTGAATCATCCAATATTGGGTAGAATTTAGCATCCTTTTAAATATACAGTATCAGTGATACAAAAGAAAGAAAACATATATGTTTATGGGGAAAAGATCATTTTATCTGTGAATAGGTGATGAAAATAATGTATTAGTTTTGAGCTGAATCCACATTCGACTAATCTGCGTTTTGGGGAGATCTACATGGTAAACGCCATTCGAAAAGTTCCAAAATGATTCTGCACATCGTCTGTTAACAAAGGCTTCAGACGCTTATACCAAGGAGCACTAAACATTTGAAGATATCAATAGTATTATGCTATAACACATGAAACTATAACATTTTTACACAACAGGTTGACCTCGAAAATAAAATGAATTCTTCGTTTTTACCCAACAGGTGCATTTTCAGCGTTTGTACACGCCGTAATAGCATACTTCATTGTCATCAATATTGTGGAAAGTAACATGATAAGAGAGAGATTCAGAGAAAGTAATAATAGCGAGAGGAAAACGCAGTATGTGTGTTGCAGAAAGAGAGATGGAGGGAGAGAGGGAGAGGGTGGGAGAGAGAGAGCGTGAGCGGTAAAAGGTTTCCTGACGATAAAAAGCGCGCTTTATTTGGCGCCTTTTTCCTGGGCGCTCGTCTGCGCGGAGAGAGGGACAGGTGATGCGGAAACGCTCCCTCGCGCGCCCCTACACTTTCCTATTGTTACCCCTCCGCTTGTATAGCTGGCACTTATTGCCTCCTACCACTCTTGAGCAGTGGCAGAATAAACTCATTTGAACGACTTTCTCTCTTTTTCATAACTACTCCCGAACAATAAATCTGATGCATATGAAAGGAAAGGCTGCATTAATCATATATGAATAATTTCTGGGCGGCCAGGGTTCGGCGTAAGATGCGGTCATGCCATCTCATGATTTATGATATTTTTGACGATTTCCTAAATATTCTAATTAACCTTGAACCTTGATCTTCGTATGATCTCCATCATCATCATCTTCCAGATGACATTTTTAAGATGGACAAGCGGTATTGGTTTTAAGCAAATCTGAGCCGGGTGAATCATCAAATATTCAACAGGCGACAACCAATCAAAATGGCGCTGACACGAAGATGCGTATAAACTTAACATCCATCTCATCACTGAGTTTGTATTTTTGACCAATGGGGATGTAAGAGATACGGGTAGATGAATGGGTTGCTTGGCAACCGGATGCATTTTAGATGATGAGGGCGGTTCCGAGAAGGAATTGCCCCCAGGGGTTCGGGATATTTGGGGGCGCTTTATAACTAGAGGCGCATCAGTTGGTGTATGTCATTAGATGTTTTGAGAGAGCTCGGAGAAGAATCGTTGGTCAACATATCTGGTAGGAACATCTCGATCTGACCTTTCATGTCTGCATGATTGTACCATTACTAGGAATCATTTCTGTTATCTTTGATCAACCCAATTTCAACGAAGACTTTTCGTTTCAAAGTCAAGTTCAGCTGGTTTCAAGTTAATATTCAAGCAACCGGAGGTAAGATTGAATTTTAAACTTCATCAAGGCGTGGTGGTGGAACTGTGTTAGTTATATAATACATGTCTACGTGGTAGTGTCAGCGTTTTATTATGCATATCGTAATATTAGTCACTTCTCCAACTTTTGATTTTATATTTTTTACGCTGTCATGATAGCCTATAAAATTAGATTCTCTTACCAATATTTGTGTTCTATGGTTTTACTTTTTTTTTGTATCCGTTCTGATCTTATTTATTTTCATTTTGAAAATAAATAGTCACCTTAATCCTTGGTGCTATACATACCTTACTGTATGCTATTCATTTTCATTATAGAAAGAAAGTGAGTGGGTGAAAGAGAGAAGGGAGTGATAAAAAAGAGAGAGAGAGTGTGTGTGTGTGTGTGTATGGAATTATTGCGATGGTTTTTGTTTTTATATTCCTGCTCGATTTTAATTATACCTTTCGCATGTTTTATGCATTTCCTACGTATTATCACCAACGTCACTGGGTAAAATTTAAATCATACGCGAACCAAAATAAAACTTGTCTCAAGATGTTAAAGATTTAGGCATAAAACATGTAATGGTACACCCGCAAACCTACTGTATATAAAACATGTATTCTAAAACATAATTGGACTTGTACGGAATGTTTAATTTTAGAATCGTTACTTTTATCGATAAGTACTTTTTGTGAGCGAGCAGAGGATACAATGGATTTGGTTGGCCTTCATCATCTATTTTGTCCACTATTAGAAATACAAATTTGCATTTAAAAAAAATCTGAATGTAAACGGTCACTCCATTTTTCATTTAAAGGCCGCTGCAATCTACGGAGAAAATTTAATTTCTTACAGAATGCATTACTATTCTGTTATCATCAAACAAACAATATTGTTTAATTTAACAGAATGTCCATGTATCTAGAATTACCGACTGCTTGACAGAAGTGCATAATTGTTCCTCCTGATTTTTTGCGGTCAATCTTGTAAACTCTGTTTTCATTAAAAATATATATATATATATATATTAGAAGCCTTTCAGTTATTGCAGATAAATTCAAAAGTACAATGTTTGATCTAAATCTATTGATTTTTACGTGAAAAGCATTAAATTTTAATTTCGTAGCGGGAAACAGAGATGGTGGACAGGTGCATTTCACCCATACTCGTTTAAATTAATTATCGGTGCTATTTTCTACCAGACGTCGTCCTTTTGGTATAGTGCCAATTAATTATGGACTATCGCTTACAAATAATTGACTTAACTCATGATCATACGATATGATTATGTATGATGAGACATGTATGCCCACGATTATAGATTCATCAATTTTCTATCCGTACTCTCTTTATTATAAGATGATAAGATTATAACATTCCGCGCTTGCTATCTTATATACCAAGCGTATGCTATCATTTGGGTTTTATTCAAAGTCGAATGATTCTAATTTTCGTTTTGTTAATCTTCACCTAACATTTTTAGGAGCTTCATACTTGTTGCAGACTTATTGATTTCCAAAATGAGATAGAAACTTACTCCATTTAGAAGAGAAAAAAAAATATTCCTTCGTCATAAACAGAAAGAGAAAATGAAAGGGTATAATGGGCACACAAAGTTCAGAGAGAAAACGTTTGTTCTCCACAAGAAAAAAATAGGGATCTCACCGGAGGTCTGGGCAGTTTTAGGTGGCCAGAGCAGACTCACTCGTGGCTTCGAAACTTTAATCTTAGACCATAGTGTCAATCAGTTCAATAATGGTCATGAAGACATCTCTTACACTTTATGATTTCGACACTAGTGTTCATATCACGGTCAGTAATTTAGATAAGTAGGCTTACACGTAATAAATAATACTGAAGGAATTAGAGGTAAACTGTCTAAAACCATTATTTTTCCATGTTCATCTATCTTAGAATGAATATTCTTCGTCTATATGTTTCTCAACTGTATTTGCCTACCCATAGAGATATATCTCTAAGTGCCTACCTTACTTTCTTGGTTGTTTACGCGAGTTATATTTTTTGATCGTTTGTGATTGTACCTCGCTTTCTTTTCTTTTTTCCGTTGTTCGTGTACATTGCTCTCCTGTATTTTCTATTATTGCAATTACTGGAACTTTTCTGAATTGATGTTAATTAAATAAAAATAGAAAAGATAAAAATAAAAGTCAGAGCAGAGTAGATATTTATCATATTTGTTTTTCTTTCCGTTTATTTTGTCCCAAATATCTTGTCATATTGTATTTAACTAATATTGATGTATTTTGTCTATTGTTATTGAGAAACTTATACTTTAAAACCTGTGTAATTTAAAAAACATACAAATAATATATTGTCCTTCTTCTTCTTAATATTATGCCATAGTATTGGTTCAGTAAAAACAAAATTTTGACGACGTAAAAAAGAAAGAAAAAGGAAAACAACAAGAAAACCCAAATGTGGCGTCGATTCAACTGTTTAAAAATATCCACTTTTACAAGAAACATAATCTGAATTCAAAATTATAAAATATCATTGATTGTATGTTATTGTAATACATTTCAGAAGCAGGCCTCTTTATCTATAAATGCCACCATCATAACCACCCTATTCAATACCACGGAAGGTCTTAAAAATTATAGCAGAACTATAAATATATTGCACCTCACTAAGTTATTCATGCATAGTGTGATGTGTCTTTTGTCTTCTCTTTCCCGGGCAGGTGGAGTTGAAAAAGCATCGTCGAATCATCGGAGTCTACGGATGAGGTCAGCGTTAGAAGCACGCAATGTCGCCTTGAAAGAGTCCACTGTGAATGAAGATTATCTTTCTTCAGTCGTGGTTTGCAAGACAACGGTGCCGCCATATTCCTCTCTCGCGCAACTAACTTGAATTTAATCTGCGGTTCTAAAGATTATTATCATTATTCATCGAGAAAGAACTAGTATTGGGCACATCTTTACGGAGTATCACTTGTTGTTTGCCTGACTGTTAAGACCCAGTAACAAAATGACCTACGACTTCACATGAAAGTAGGATTTTCTCAGAAGTTTCGTTTTGAAATTGGCCTCGTGAGATGAAAGACAGACATCTATAAAATCGATGGTCAAAATATTACCAACGACAAAGGTTATGATCAACAACAAGAGCAGCAGCGACAAAAATAACAATACCGACAACAACATTACCAACAACAACAACGAAGATAATCGATACAACAATCTCCCGAAAATTCTAAACTGCCGTCCCAACGCTTCCAATGCAACATCGGCGCCGTCTCGTTATAGTTTCAACACTACTATCTCTTCATTGGCTCATTCTTTCAACCACGTGACCATGTTCGCCAAGACCACTCAATATGGCGCCACTCGGAGCGCACGTCGCTTCTCCACTGGACGCTTCCTGGTTATCACGTGACGCAGTTTGGCACGAGCTCAACGTGCAAAACTTGAGATAAGGTCAGCTGTTCGGCTGGCCGCTACATGCTGTTTTGTTCGTTCGGCTCGCGTCAAATTGCAGTCACACTATCAACAACAACAACAACAGATCTCCAATCCGCCCGTATTGCAGTCACACTATCAACAGATCTCCAATCCGCCCGTATTTCAAGGACAACAAACAGCTGCTACAAAGGTTAACTGAACATAAAATGTGCAAAGTCATCGAACAGACTACACTGGCGGGTCCAGTGTTCTCCTGCAGGAAGGAGTGGTGGGGCACAGTGGTCCAAAAAGTCCCTGTCAGGCAAGGTGGGAATGGTTAACACATTTTAAGTTCCTTCCTAAAGGCTCGTTCAGACAGTGGCGGATCCAGGGGGGGGGGGGGGGCCCGGGGGGCCCGGGCCCCCCCCCCCCCCCCTTGAGAAAAAAAATCATGTAAAATCACGTGATTTTTACCTTTTTGGGGGGTTGGGCCCCCCCCCCCTGGCGCTCAAGGGGGGGGGGGGTGCAAATTGAATTTTTTTTGAGGATCAAAAAAAAAAAAAAATGTGCTCACTACCCCCCCCCCCCCACTGAGCGAATTTTTGGCCGGCGCGTTTTTCAAATTTTCGGGAGCAAAAAAAAAAAAAAGTTGGGCCCCCTCCCCTAAGAAATCCTGGATCCGCGCCTGCGTTCAGATATCGCGCTGTAAATTGACCACCGGAAAAAGCCACCACGGTTTATTTCGTTTTATCTTGTAAACATTTATGAATGGCAATTTAGGACTCGCACATATTAACTGAGCTCTGTTTTATGATGTAAAGAAATTTGAAGCGAACTATTACACTTATTTACGTCATCATTAAAAGCCAAAGCAAAACGCTGCAGTTTTGCCGCTTCATATCTAAACAAACCTTTACTTCAAAATTATCCGAGACTTACAAGCAAACAAAATGTCGTGTTATCACATTTTAATGTTGTTTTTAAAATTCTGAATTAATAATGGGGTCTTATACAATGTATAGTAAAATACCGAGAGTGACACAATCATTATTTAGTCATCATATTCGAAGTGAGCTAACCCCTATTGAATACCCATAAATAGGGAACAAATAAAAGACAACTCTGGCATTTTCTATCTCATTATAGTAGGAAAAAGGGAGAAGAGATAAATGCATTAGTATCTGGATTTATATTTTAGAAACCATTTATACTACTTCAAAAAATAAGTGGATCAAGATAACTTTTAAAGGAAAATTTGGACAAAACGTATTATTTAGCGTTTAGCAAGACTATGATAGAAATTATTTCAAAAAATCAACCTATATTATATACGTTATTTCAATAGCCCTGCGCGTCATCGGCGAACTTCATTTCAATGGAGTAAAAATACTTAACATTTTTTAAATCATGGCATCATTAAAACTGGAAATTAGCTCACTTAGATGGACCGTCTGCGCTTCAGGGAGACAATACAATATTGGACGCACGACTCGAAATACACGACCACAAATGAATATAAAATAAAAAAGAATAGTAGAAAAATGCTCGTCTTTGATATCGTTTTCCACTATCAATCATCTAAAAGTTGTCTCAAAACACCATGTATGATTTACGTACAACCAAATGAAGTACATGTACATAATCAAGAAAAAAGAAGCTCTCTGGTAGTAATATCATACTATACATTTCCCCGTGACAGTCTTAATTTATAGCCCTTTTATATATTTTGTTTCAAAATCATGAAGTTCGACAACCTTTGAATAAGATAATATATATATTTGGGGGTTAAGTCTATATACCCCACACTAATAATCTCCATGAGCCACATTGTATTTATAATGAGATAGATAAATCACAGGCTTCAAGATTATTTAATCACCTGATGCAGAAGCTTTGAAATTGACACCCACACTTTTTTATGTGGGTATATCAATGTATTATTTTGTTTTCCTTCTTTTTTGTGCGTGTTAGTTTTTGCATTTTATGAAGGATATAAGTTTCTGTAACTTTTTGATGATCCAACCACTTCGTAATTTCCTTTAATGTATTTTCCATTTTATTGGCTGATCCGTGTTTGTAAGAAATATTTCATTTTGTTTTTTGACTTTGCATGTTTGTATAAAAAGTGGTGAATAAATTCAATTCAATTAAAGATTATTTAATCGTTTCTATAATTCAATTTAATTAAAGATTATTTAATCGTTTCTATAGTGCCGTTGTTAAAAGGGTTGTCATGGGAGATAATCAAGACTGGAAATGGGTAATTTTGCACAGCCATCGAGTTGCTCAAAGCAACCCTTCCATCAATTGGTGCATATTGTTTTGTGCAAAATTGCACGTGTGGCAAACAAGCAACCATTCAGAGAGGCAGAAAAAGAAACCAAAATGTTCATTACCCTTTTCATAACTCTTTTCATAACCCCTCTAACTTTCAACATCAACATACAATAAGCCAGTTCATAGTTTGCAGTCTGAGCATGAGAACATAAAGGTAATTGCAGACAAAATACATGCTCATGAAAGTTATGTAATCATTATTCATTTATGCACAAGCAGTGCACTCCATGATAGTTACACAGGTGGAAGTATTCTTTGAAAAGGGGAAACAAAGGCTATTATGTAGCACCTCCATCGGAGTGATTATTTAAAAATGTACAAAGTGGGACCTCTTCATGTTTTGAAGATCTGTGGATATTCTGGGTCATTTGGGTCATGTGCTAACCGTGAGCTGGTCTATTGCTCAATCACCACTGCCATTTTTAGAAAGAAAAACACAATAAATGAACAAGAAAAATGATTCTGAAATATTACGTCTCTTTGGCTTGCTTTATTCCATTGCAATGTATAAGTTATCATCTGAGTACAATACATAGCATAATTATTTATGATACTGCAATAGCTATTTACCACTTGTCTAAACAAGTTTATTAATTTACATAGGAGGAAGAAACACTTATATTTTTATACACATATATTGATATATTCTTACTTGATGAAATAAATATACATTTAGTAGTATTTCACACTTACATCTTATTCTGAATATATTGAAAACTGAATGTCACAATTGCTCAATGAAATCTGAAAGGTAAATCATCAATGATGTGACTTCAAAGGTATAATAATATAATTATATCATGAACATAAACAGTTTGTCTTGTGTTTTTCATATTACCATACAGTATACATTTACAATTAATAATTAATAATAAATGTGCATGTTATTATCAATTTGATTGCTATATGGTTAAAAAGGTTCATAACTTTATGTTTTTATGATTTTGTTGAGGGAAAGTTTTCGGAAAAAGGCTGTACGGACTATGTATTGCCAATAGCCATATCTGCCTTCCTATGGGCAGCCAACGAAATATGTTAGTAATTTTGTAATGTATTGACAAGAGTTAAGAGCAGTTTCTGAATATCAAGATAAATAATGGTGTATATACATATAATTTTATGGAGTAGGATAATTTACACAATATCTTACATTTATCTTATGTATCATACACATTCATGTAAACCCCAAAGTATTCATAAAAAAATCCTTGTTTCTGAAGTATTAAAGTGTGCATAATCTCATTATATTGTTTATTGATTCTCTGTGTTCCCATAACTGTTTGCACATGCATGACATGTTAAAGAAAAAGAGAACATAGAGCAGCCGTAAAAGAGACAGGTAACATTGTTGCAAACTTACATTTAGATATTTGGTGAGTTTTGCAGTGTACTTGATTGATTTCATAATTCCATTTTCTTTTTAAAAGAGTACCAGTTCCTAGAAATTCCAATATATTTTACCCCAATTACATAAAAAAATAATCTCTTGAGGTCTTTGTTTACTTTCTCTACAAGAGTGCAAAAACCATTCATCCCTATCATGGTCAAAATATAATCGTTGAGTTAATAAAAATAAGTGCTATAAGCAGTTAACTTGTGCATGGGTTACACTATCTTCCAACATTTACCCCTATTTTGGAAAATACAAGGGTTAGATCTTGAATCATAATAACTCTTTCCCCATATTCAGTTAATAACTAATCATTTTTGTCAAAAATTATATAATGTAAAAGGTAAGGATTTTAAGAATGACACATATTCAATATTCTGTACAAAGTACAAAAATGATTACATTTCTGATGTGGTAAACTGTAACAGCAAAAATGCACAAATAAAATCTCTTCAGGAAATATACATGTGGATGTGTCCAAATTATTGAAAATACAGACATGTTTTTTTAAACTTTACAACTCTTTAACACAACATTGCATTTCAATATACCTCTTCTTCGTCAAATATTTTCACTGAAAACTCTTATACTCAATACTCTTATTGATACCCATTCTTGCATATTCCACTGTGTAATGAAATTCTTGAATACATGAATACAATATAATATTAAGCAAAGACGTGTGAAAGGTCTGAACATTTTTTTGAAACCAAGAAGAGCGTTAAATGATACAAATTAACACCCTTCTGGCTCTCAGTAGTCATTTGAAAAACATAAAATTTTACTTGGAATGAAACAAATCTTGTTAACAAGATATACAAGTATGAATCTGTGTAAAGTAACATTAATATTGCATTTCTTTTCTTTTTTGTCTTTGTACAAATTGCAGAGTTTGAATCAGAGTGATATTCGCTCACCATAAAGAGTGTTACATACACTCAGAGCTAGAAGAGCATTAAGTCATGACTTTCGCAAAGATGTGACGCCCATCTTTCTCTCACCACATGATTATATTTTTGTTAAAGTTTTTACATTGTGAAGTAAACTTCGTACACTAACACATATTGTAGTAGAACTCAGCCGATGTACTTTATATTCACGTATCCAGCACACATAGGTTATTCCAATATATGAACAACAAAAAAAGACATGAACTTGATGTCTAGTCAATCTGACTTGCGAAATTGTGTCCTTTTACATGAACAAAAAAATAACACCCCTAAACAAAATCTTTTTTAGATTCAAGTTTAAATGTCACAAACAAAATTTCCAAGAAAATTTTGTATGCAAGGATATATATATCAATATTTATCAATTAAGCCTTTTCATCTACCTTCATTTAAAATAAAATTTGGAATCTGATTATTATACATTTGCTTTGGTGACATCTTCTTCAGGTTTTCTATTTTGTCAACTATAAAGGGTTACTTCTTGGCTCAAATCTATGTAACCTACTGTATACTTGACTTAAAAACGAACTACAGTCAAACCTGTCTTAGTGGCCACCTCTCTTTAAAGGCCACCTGTCTTTAGTGGCCATGCATTTTGTCTCCCGAGAGAGAGCAGGGGGAGAGGGAGGGGGAGAGAGAGAGCGAGAAAGAGAGAGAGAGAGAGAGAAATGTGTGTTGTAGAACCCATCTAGAAAGGCCACCTGTCTACAATGGCCACTTTTTCTTTTTCCTTGGGTGGCCTTAATAGACAGGTTTGACTGTATCTTCAACCTCAAATCAAATTCACTACACCATTTTTGCATCATGAAAAAAATCAGGAAATTTGTTTTATTTCAATGGATGTAAACTACAGCGAAAATGAAAATTGAACTGGAGATGTAGTAATATTCTGAGGAAGGCCTTAGAAGGATAACATAGGAATTCTACCATGAGAAACTATCCATTTTCAAAGCAATCCAAGAAAACAGATTTTTTTTTTTTAACTTGAGCACGAGTAAGTTAATTTGTTTGCCCAAACACATACATGGAGATATGACATTATAGACACTGCTTGAGGTACAATGTAGCTTGTTACTGTTACTTTTCAGTGTATGGAATGCTAGCAGTATTTAAGATATTAAAGGTGCACAACGCTCAATACCAAATCGGCAACTCAAGTAACTATACATAAATAGAAAAGGCAAACAAAATTACTACCTGGTGAATTCTAAATACATGTAGGTCATGGTATTTGTTTGTATAAGACATTATAGAATTTTAATATCGTCAGTAATAAAATAGAGAAATATATTGCTTCATGGGAATAAACAAAGAATTCTTGTTAGAAATATTGGGTGAGGTAATATCATAATTTTCTCCCTTTAATACACCTAGGATTTTTCTAGGAAGTTTCAATATCTATTATAAGCTACTGAAATCATGGAATTTGATTGGCCGAGAGCAACTTTGTCCATGAAATTTACAATTTGTTATTGTTAACAACTTTTATAAAAGCTTAAGCTTTTTTTTTGCGTTGGTTAAAGTCACATTGGAATAAGTATTTACTGGGCTAGTCCAAAGTGATTGTTCCATCTGCATCCCACAATCTATTATGTTCATACTTCCGTGTTAGAAATACAATAGATCAATCTAGACGTAATAATCACTCCGGCAAATCAAACGGCCTAAAAATAACATTTAAATGAAGAAATGTAGTTTGTGAGCATACCTTGTGCACTCTGACTATTGCAACATACCCGTTTCTGTAATTTTGCGAAAAATACATATACCGAGTATCTACAGGTGTATTTTTACATATGATATTCTCTTCTTTACTTCAGCATCAACACGCATCACTATAGAAGTATATCTACTACTGCACCTGCCTAAGTCATTTTTTGTATTTAATAGTCTACCCTAAAATCCCTTAAATAATAATACTAAATCTAGGAAAGTATGCATCCATCTTCAATGAATACATTTCCAATCATCCTCTTCCTGTTATGTTATATAATCATTAACGATAATAATAATAATAATATCTGTAAAACGTTTAGAGACATTTCGTATTAAGCGCTAATCCAGATATTATTTTGTCATTAAATTACCCAAATAGAGCAGAAGGAAAAAATATGAAAAAGTGAAAATTAATGATCTAAAGATAGAAAAGAGTATCAACAATCTTATCGGGGTTATATACGTATCTAAGGTATTGTATACTATTAAAAAACAGTGATTTCTACATCCTCAGAAAAAGAAAGAAAGAAAAAACAGCTCATATTTCTTTAACCACATAGGGCACAGATGATGCTCTTTTGAAGGATTTACAATTAAAGGGGAGTTCAGTATCATTAAAGGTGCTATGCAATTTGATGTGGTCGTTGATTTTCTCCTACTACATCTTTTATGTTCTCTTTCTATCAATATTCACATACGTGTCCATCTAACCATGTTCATCATCTCTTACGTCAAAGAAATGTCTTTTACTGTTTGTCTATCTCTCTCTCTCTGTCTCTCTGTCTCTCTCTCTCTCTTCCTCCCTTCCTCTCTTAAACTCTCTCTTTCTCTCTCCCTTTCTCTTTCTCTCACTCTCTTTCATTTTCACCCTCTCTTTCTTTCTCACTCTCTCTCCCTTTCTCTCTCCTTCTCTCTCTCTCTCTTTCTCTCTCTCTACCTCTCCTACCCTCTTTCTTCATGAGCTACACTTGCTTTGATATTCCTCCTGTCTGAACGAGAGCTAGAAACGGATGTCAACGATCGGTCAATCACAACCTCCTGAAGTACATAACACAACGAAACAGAAATCCGCTACACGTGTATGTCACTCTAGGGTCAGTGTAACCGCCCTTTACTCTCTATCTTCTGTATCCTCTATCAACTATCCTCTGTACCGCGTTCCCCGTCATACTCTCATCCAAGAAACGAAACAATAGAGGGCGCAACACTGGAGTTGGCGGAGGCCATTGCGTCTGTGCAGGATGGCCCTACAGATTTGCCGACAATGCCGATGAAACACAACACCAAAGATAGATAACTTTGAATCCATCTCTAATTGATATCGTTCTTCATCACCATTAGTATCCAGGATCTCGGAGCAGCATAGAGCAACTCTTTTTTGTTGCTGAGGGAAAGTAAAGATAGATATCTTTGTATGCATCTCTTGGTATCGTTCTTCATCACCACTCCTTTCAGTAGTATCCAGCATCTCAGAGCAGCAGAGGGCGGCTCTTTTTTGTTTCTGAGGGAGTGGTGTAGCGATCAGGTCTTGGTCTTGGTCCTGGTGTTGCAATCAGGTCTTGGTCTTGGTCCTGGTGTTGCAATCAGGTCTTGGTGTGTTGCTGACACAGTTGCCAGACTTGTTCTGGTGTGACGGACATGATGAAGTCTCTGCTCAGCCCCCAGTCCAATCTGGAGATAGAATCACCAAGGTCCTGCTCCCCTGTAGGAGATCTATCAGAGATATAAATGATATGAAAGAGCAATTATAACATTGATAACAATAATAATAATAGGTGGTGGTTGTTATTTTACCTGACTGCTAAGAAAGCAACCAGACAGCTGACGGTTTTAGGTCCTCACTGAGGGACCTGGTAATGAGGATTAATGCCTTACCAAAGGGCACTAGCGCATCGCATTGGTTTCGAGCCCGGGTCACCGGAATACGAGAACGCTGCTCTACCGACTGAGCTTTCGTGCCTCCTCTTATAGACTATAGTGCAGCTACTACATAAATATACTCTACTGCACTTAGTACAAGGTACAATTAATCATTACCCCCTGCTGTAGCTGAGCTGCCATAATAAGGTGCTAAAGCATTCAAGGGTTTTCTTCCGACGGGTACCCATTACTTCACCTGAGTGGAGAGTGGCAAATGTAGATTAATGTCTTGCCAAAGGATTATTGATATTATTATTACCTTATTCATCAAATCAACATAAAAATAACACAACATGCACAACATTTGACAGAAGCGGAAAAGGGATGTAAAGAAAGAAAACTTGAAAGTTACAAAATTAGATATGCTTACAAGGAGGATTGGTCCCGGGGAGCAGTAATGATGAGACGGAGAGCTTGGGATATCAGCCATTCCTCACAGTCTACTTCACTCTTGACCTCATCTGGTTCAGGCCCGTACAACATGGCCGCCGCTCTGAAATAAGAATATGAAAGCCATGATTAGATTTCGCTCATGACTGGTTTATGGTTAAACAAGACTAATGCGACTGCATCTCCTATACGCCTCTGACCTAAATTCAGTATAGGAAATGGATGGAATTATTTGTGACATATTTTAAAATAATCCCTGAAATAAGAATAAGAAAGCCATGATTAGTTTTTCGCTTATGTAGTATTGGTGTATGGTTAAATTAGACAAATGCAACTGCGTCTCCTATATGCTCAGTGTACTAGGAAATGGATGGAATTATTTGAGACAAAGTTTATTCCTGAAAGCTCATGTGTGACATTTTAACAAAACATATAGCAGAACAGAAGGGGATAATTCTTCTTATTATTAATAAATTGCTCACTCGTGCATTCAAGAGGATATAATAATCACCTTAACAGAGCAGACTTGACTGGTGGCCTGTTCTCAGGATCACTGCACAGCATCTCTGTGAGCAAGTTATGTAGATTCCTTGATAACCAGTCTGGAGGGGTAGTGACTTGTTGGTTGCTAAGTTCAGCAGAGCCTCCCTGTGACCTAAGGAGCTTGACTAGTGTGGCTGCTATGGCAAAGGTGTCTCCACTTTCATCTGAACTTTGACCTGCAGTGACCTGAAGTCAAAGGTCAAATGACAAGAGGGAATAACGAGATGAATTAATAGCTCAAAAATGCACAACAAGATATACATAAATCACAAAGAAGTTTGACAAAAGACTTAACTCCGATCAGCCATGCACAAAGAGGACGAAAGATTTGATGCATGGCTGATTGTCAACGAAACGGAGTTAAGTCTTTAACTCTGTTTGTTGCTACGGCAGGTAGCAAGTGAAAAAGAATTTGTTTAATCAAATTATGGAAATGCGAACATTACTTTAAACCAACAGAACTTTTTATTCCTGGCTCATTATTCCTGATTAAGGTGTCATATAAAAGGGCAGAAAATGAACTTTCTAGAAATGTGATTTTCTCTTTGAAATTCCGATACCGCCCTAAAAATGACTTTTTAGTTTCCTCTCTTCAAAAATGTTTTTAATCACTCATGCGTGAAATATGCATCATAAAAGTTGCATCAAATGAAAGAGGAGAATCTAAGCCTTACAAATATGTGTCATTTATTAATTATAATTGTGATTAAGTTTCATTTTTTCTGGGACGCACTGTATATCTGACTTTAGCACTAAATTGAACATCATCCTTAGGCAATGTTTACTATGTAAGTACATTGTAAACCATGTATTCTATTTGCAATTCTTTCACCAACTTTGGGTGAGAGCTAGAAAGGAGTTAACTAAAGCATTTTACAGGCACATTGTAATCTTTGCATTCCATACGTACTTACGTACTGAACTTTACACAGTCTTTAACATCTTTATAACTCTGAGCAGACGACATGCACTAATAAACGATGATATATCAACAAGATAATGCTCTTCTGACCCACAGAAGCAATATTTATATGCAAGTGGGATTACACACTTAATTGTACACATTAACAATGTATAAATCAAAAAGCACAATTAAGGCTCTTAATTTGGGACAGAGGAATCTCTGTATTAAATCAGCAATAAAGCAAGCTACTTCACAAGCTGCCATTGTCTGTGATGCAGCATAAATCAGAATCAGCTAGCTCTCTGTGAGCTGGATTCTTGGATGAAAAATTAATTTCACTTGGTGGCTTTCCACCTGCTCTGTCCCAAATCAACATGATGACACAAAAGGACTTGGCACCATCACAATGGCAGATTTGGGAATTATAGTGAAGACAGTCCTTTAGTAAAAAGGCGTGTATGAGCACAGATTCTTCCATCTGCTTTCCTGTACTAAGATATGATTAGCACTTGTGACTTGGGGAATAGCATTATAATCAGAAAATTTTAATTAACATTTTTTTGTAAAGATTCACTTTAATACTTCGAGAAAGAAAATTGGATTTATTCCAAAAGGGTACCCTTTTAGTGATGTGGGTCAGATGTAGATGAAAATGAAACTATTATTGACCTATTTTTTGACCGATGGATTTGAATGTACTCTGCAAAGTATAATGATAATGACTATGATATTAATGATCTTGACTATGATGATAACTAATAGTACCACCACTACTTCAACTGCTACTATACTTCTACAAGCACTAGACAAAAAGTAACCATAACATGAACAATGAGAACAACCACAGTAATAGAAGAAGAAGAAGAAGAAGAAGAAGAAAGAAGAAGAAGAAGAAGAAGAAGAAGAAGAAGAAGAAGAAGAAGAAGAAGAAGAAGAAGAAGAAGAAGAAGAAGAAGAAGAAGAAGAAGAAGAAGAAGAAGAAGAAGAAGAAGAAGAAGAAGAAGAAGAAGAAGAAGAAGAAGAAGAAGAAGAAGAAGAAGAAGAAGAAGAAGAAGAAGAAGAAGAAGAAGAAGAAGAAGAAGAAGAAGAAGAAGAAGAAGAAGAAGAAGAAGAAGAAGAAGAAGAAGAAGAAGAAGAAGAAGAAGAAGAAGAAGAAGAAGAAGAAGAAGAAAGAAGAAGAAGAAGAAGAAGAAGAAGAAGAAGAAGAGACAACATACTCCATGTTGATGGATTTTAAATGTTCATCATGGACAACTTTTAACGATCACAAAACTCCATCTTACCTCTGGTATATTAGAAGCCATTTCAGGAAGGGGTGTATTTCCACCCCTCTTATCCAACCGTCTCGCCTTCTCCAGACCCCCTAGGACCACCCTCATATCTTCTGTCACATAGACACACCCGGGATGGATGTTACCATGGACCACGCCTTCCCGATGCAGGTGCTCCACAGCTAGGAGCAGCTGGAGGAGGATGCGAGTTATACCGGTGTCTGTACAGGGCGTCGGCTCCTCCTCAGCGTTCATTATCCCCCATCTGAACAGCTCTTCAAGGGTCAGTTTGACCGATGAGTAGATGAGACACCGGAAGACATCCTTATCTGGTTGATACCCTGCATCTTGGGGTAAGCCTACATCTCCATGCCCTCCTTTTGAAGGGTGGTGACCAGTTTCCTGGCTTCCTGGAAGACTTTCTTTGCTCCTTGAAGGATTTGCCTGGAGCTGCATCAGGAGCTGCTGTGCAAACCTACCCTCTCCAGGGAGGGGCACATCCCAGTGGTGGATGGGGAGGAGAAGGTGTGGGGATGGTGAAAGTGTCTCCTCCACATGCTCAACAGCATCATTGTTTTCTTGCTGAAACGTTTTTGAATTATCAACCTATAGACACAGAGGAAAAGATTTAAAGAAAGAAGAGATCTGTTGATGAATTGATTATCATTTTTCTTTACATACCTGACTGCTAAGAAAGCAAGTATAGTGAACATTGAGCCCACCACACACAGTACGATCTTCCTACAAATACATTTTGAAGATATTGCAATTATAATAGACATGGAGATCTAAACAAACATCATCTTCCTGATTTAAGGTTATATAACTGATAAGAATACTCTAAACTGGAATTTTACACATTAAAGCCTTCTAGTCAGAATAAAAGCCGAATCAGTTTCACATTGTAGACAATTAATTGCTCTTCAGAGGGTGTTTCACAAAGATCCTAAGTTGAACTTATCTCTAAGTTGGACTTAAAAATTATGGAAAGCCATTAGCATCCTTGAAAATATGTTGTAAAAGTCATTTCAAAAAGCATAAAATGTTGATTTAAATCATTCATATTTATTATCAAGGAGATTTCATGTTCTTAATGTGTAATTTATAAAAAGTCTAAAATACTTGAATTTTCGCTTTTGAATATATTTCATTTCAAGGCTACAAATGGCTCTCCATAATTTTTACGTCCAACTGAGAGTTAAGTCTGACTAAGAATCTTTGTGAAACATCCCCCTGGTCTGACATCACTACAATTCTGAGCCGATTTACCTTTTCCTTCTTCATGGAAGCATGAAATCCATTTAAATTTTAGTTCTTATTAATCACATGACAATTCATTCATCATTAAGATTTTAAAAGTTCGAATGGTCAAATGAAATGCTATTACAAATTCTTCAAAAATTGGATCATAGTCAGATCGTAAAGTGTGTAGTGGGCTTTACAGATCTAAGTACTTTACTATTGTACCACATTCTCACAGTGCATCATCAACAGCGCCATCTACGACAAGAGTTGACCAAGCTTGCAATAGAACAGCAAGCAAATTCTAATAAAGTTTTAACTGATTTTGTAAAACAAATCAATTCTCAATATTATATAACCAGTTACAGGTGTATAATAGATGAACATCTTAAATAAACCTAACTCATTGATAGTATGCTTAAAATAGTTTGACCAGCAGTCTAATGAAAATCCATGTTATACTTGTATACATACATGTATCAAAATCAATTATTCAATACCACAGATTAGCATGATAGAGTGAACTCACCTTTAATATGCACAGTTTGTCATTCATCACACACTTAAACTGTGCAGATATATTGCCACCGGGTCCAGAAGTTTGACCCCATTTCTCTAAAATATCAACAGTTTGACTGGACTCTGACTCTCCTCCATCAGTCAATTGGGTTGAATACTGCCCTCTGGAGTCCAAATGCTTATCGTTCTCATTCATGGCCTGCAGGACCCTTTTTATGTTCTCAGTTCTGTTTGGGGAGGCAACCTTCGTGGCAGTGCTAGCAGTGTTCCCGCTGTGGAAAGCCACTTTGGGGTAACTGGAGTTCAGAGAGCGCCAGCACTCCCTGGTGAAGGTCATGCTCAATGTCGGCTGCTTGACCGATGTCCTTTCCGTCTGGGCACTCTCCTTGTCACCCGACAATTTTTTTGAGGAAGCTCCATAGTCGGAACCACTTCCGTAATCGTAAGAGGATGATTCTGATGATGGCGACAGCGATGATGAACTGGTTGATCGCTCTGAAGGACTCCTGATACTCAAGTATTCATTTCCACTTTCAGGTTTGAGGTCAGAATTCCTAGATGGAGTGCTTGGTCTGTTTCTCCCGTCAATCGTATAATCCTGAGGACCTCTGTTCTCCCCTGAGTCAATGACATAGTCGTCTCTTCTACCTGGTAACACTGGAAGTGCATTTAGTCTTTGATTATCATTCAGCAGTTTTAAACACAACTGTTCTAAATTTCCACTCCCCAAATTTGAGTCCAACTTTTTGGCTAGAGCCTGGACCAGGTCAGAATCTGATGATGTCTGCAACGATTCCTCAGAGCTGGAGTCCGCAGCAAGAGCAGCATCCAGTGCCAACTCTAATCGATTCATTCTCTCCCCCATCATCTGATTCTGCTCTTTCAAGCTCAGTTTATCCTCTAACAATTTCTCAATGACAGAATGCAGCTGCCTGACTTCTGAATTTTGATCTCCACCAGAAGCGTCCATGATATCCCTCTCAACATTCTGCAGATTGTTTTTTCCAAGAGTTCTTTGTCCGTACCCTACTGCAGCGGAACCTGAATCTTGCAACAGTCTTTGACGCTGCGATCCTTGGTCATTGGAGTGATCAGAAATCGTGAAGCATCCCTGAGAGTTTTTCTGGTGATCCCTGTGGCCACTCAGAATGTCAGGACTCCACTGCACATGGTTATCAGGTCCACTGTGGCCATTATTCGCCGTTGCACTACCTGCAGTTGATAAAATTCCTGGATGTCGTATATGTTCATCTCCGAGCCTCCTGGACGATCCCATTTGCTGATGGTAAACATCCCTCACCTCAGGATTCCTCCTGGGTGTTTCAGGACTCAATCGATGGGTAACATCTACATTTTGCAAAGATTCATTATAACCGGTACTGATATCTCTCCTAATCGAATGCTCATGATGTGGCAGCTGCCTTGTAGGCTGTCTATTTGTTTTGTAACTGAAGCCATTTCCGGACGACTCTTGAAACCTCAATTGACCATCTCTTTGCACCGGAAACCCATGATATTGCCCCACAGGAGCGCCCTCTGAATGTTGCCTAGGCAACGGAGGACTCCATCTCCTGTCTTGTTTCAGATCCCTTGAGAAGTAAGCCTCACCAACATGTTTGCAAGGACCCTGCCCTCTACACTCTCTTTGCATCTCAGGGTTCGAACCACGACGCATGGGTCTTGAGCTGTCAATGAGATGATGATGGGGACTTTTTTTGTGAGGAACACTGTGTTGATTAGATGGTGGAGACATTCTGCCAACTTTGTCCAACTGTTGAGCCGAGTAACATCTGGTTACTTCTACGTCTCTCCTATTAAAGAAATAGAACAAATGGTGTTATGTTTAAGAAATTTGTCAGGTTTGCAGGCATCTGTAAATCTTAATAGTAAATAAATATCTCTTTTACATGCATGATAAGGAATACATAAAATAAGAAAGATTCACAAATAGTGACATAGTAAGGCAATCATGTTAGTATTTCACATAATTTACACATATGACTATCCTTCCTTTTTTCATCTGAAATTGATTAACCTCTGGACAAGACCATTGTCTAATTGTTGTGATACCAAAAGGACCACTTTTCACTAGTCAAATCAAGAGATTTTTAAATGCTTGAATGAAATAAATGGATAGAATTCATATGTAGTATGGGACGCATAGCATAGAATTGTTAACATGCAACATCAATAAAAGCCACAGCTTCTTGTTGTATTATACCCTCTTTTACAAATGCTAGACGAAAAAACACTTCAAAAACATTAGTATTCTTCTTCTTCTTCTTTAAGTGCCATATCCTGAGGCATTGGTCACCATGGAGTGCCACAATATTCTATGAAGTAATTCATTCTTCCCGAGATCAATTCCAATTCCAGAAATCCCACTCTCCACAAAAGCCTCCTTCTACCTCTACTCCTCCTCCTCTCCATTATTCCAGTCATGTTAATATACCCTTCCTTTTTACTCAGATATTTCAAAACTGACCACCCCTTTTTTCAGCCCAGAACCTTAAATCAGTCCCTCAAAGATAGACATGTTCTTTACCCGATTGCCATGACATGGTGCAAGGGGGGCTTTGACAGCTTCCGCTGAAGACTGTTCCACTCCTCATCGTTGTCAAAGAACGGGGAATCATCACTCTCACTGGCCACTCTCGGCTCTCTCCAGCTGGCTTCAACAGGACCGTCGGTTTGATAGGCCGATGGGAGGGATGAACTCCGACAAACAGCTAGGACACAAAAATGACATCATCATCATCATCATCATCATCATCATCATCTTTATTAATTTGGCATCACCTGTGCCTTGGAAGTGAAAGAAAACTTGGTGACTTCTTTGTCAATCTTTGTTCAGAATATTAAATTAATAAATGAGTACAGGTATGAGACACTATTTTACTGTGGAGCGGAATGGGCATACAAAATTTCACCATCCTAAAAAACATTTTTAGGACGGCACTTTCTCTTTCATATGCAAGTTATGTGCAAAATGTTAACAGGCTCGAAATCACTGTTTTTCCATACCAATGGGCAATTTTTCAACTTTCAAACATAAAACCTGTCAATATATAGTCATTTCAGATATATATCTTTTTACTAGAACAATGTACATGTAGCAATGGAAGAGAAATACTCTTTTTACCAATCTGAAGAAGAAAATGTGATCAATTTTGCCCGGAAGTTATTCCTGTCTGAATGGGAAAATAGGTTAATATCTACCTTAGATATCAAATATATTTCATTTCATTCCATTTATTTATTTAAGCACGGAGGCCTACCTCAGCCCGCGGACTGTTCTTCCGTAGGGCCGTGCATATACATAAAAACATAAAATATAAAAATAACATATATACAACATATTTCATCATAATAATGATAACATAAATATATACAAAGCAAATATAACATATGATTATACAGTTTCTATATGGAGATGAATGACAATTTTCTCAAATTTTAAGAGACATCTATTTTCTCAGTCTACAAATACTGCAGACTTCAAATGTATGACAAGTCTCCAGCATTGATCAAACAGAAAAATATACATTTAGATTTGTTACTAGTAAAACAGAGCATGTACATGTACTATTAAACATGTCTGTCTACACATGGAGCTTACTACTATGGCTAGGCTTCTGTGCCAGGATCCTGATCCAACATAACACAACCTACTGCTTTACCTTTGTGACTAGTCTCTTGTGCCAGGAGGTTGAAGATGGACTCGTGTCCAGCGGCGTCTGCCCCTTGCTGGGCCGTCTTGCCGGTGTTATTGAGGAAAGTTTTGCTGGCTCCAAACTCAAGCAGCAGCCTGCAGAGATGACTAGAGCCCCGGTACGCTGCGAGGTGCAGCGCGGTGTCTCCATTCTGGCTCTGGGCGTTGACATCTGCCCCCCTGCAGGAAAAATGGAATAGTCCAAGACATTCAGTGAGGTATAGTCAAACCTGTATAGAAAGACCGCCTGTCTATCTAGACCACATTTTCTGTGTCCCTTGAATAATGTTTCTCATTGAAACATAAACTGTCAAAGAACCACTATACACAAAGACTGATTTTCTTGTCTCCCTTGAGTGGTCTCTATAAATGGGTTTCACTTTCTATGCAGAGCCATTTAACTTGGGGTATTTTTTGACAGGCTATTGTACATTTGACCATGAACAAACAAACAATAGATGCCCTTTCCAGGATAGAAATATGGAATGATCTAGAAAGATAAAACTTCAGTCGGATTAATTGAGAGGAATATCGATGACAATGGATAAATTAAATCACACCTTCCCAAAGAAAACTGTGTGCCACGACAGTACATGCAAAAACCTTCCTGTAATCGATAAAGTCCATCACCGCATGAACATTTTTGGTAAGCCAGAAAACAATAATTATCAAGAGTTTTTTTCGTGGTTTGCTAATTCCTTTAATAGGCTCAAGATGAACCCTTCATGCACTATTTATGCATTCTAAATAACCTTTAACTATTTTTTTTTTTTTTTCACTGAACCTGAAAATAAACAAATGTTTCCCAAAGTTTTTTTTTTTTTTTCTTTAAAAAAAATTAAAAATTCCTTTACAAGGCTCATCATGACCCCTAGATGCACTGTTACTGGTATGCATTTGACATTTCCTAATGTACTAAATATATCCTTACAATTCAATGATGAGAATACAACACATATTCTTGGTAAAAGAGCTTTTATATCAATCGCTGAATCGGTTTAAATAGTTTTTCTTAATATTGCACACTGTCAGGAACCAGTAAGGAGGGTAGGACGTGGTAAATCACTTCCTAAATCTGTTTAAATAGGGTTTTGTTAATATTGCATACTGTCAGGGACAATGTCGTAAGACATTTCCTGAATCTGTTTAAATACTTTTTAAAAAAAATATTGCACACTGTCAATATCATCAAGGTGAGGAAGCGGTAAGACACATCCTGGGGGGTGTTTCACAAAGATCCTAAGTTGAACTTATCTCTAAGTTGGACTTAAAAAATTATGGAAAGCCGTTAGCATCTTTTAAATATTTTGTAAAATTTATTTTGAAAGGCATAACATGCTAGTTCAAATCATTCATATTTTCTATCATCATGGGAGATTTCATTTTCTTTATGTGGAATTTATGAAAAGTCTGAAATACTGGAGTTTTTGCTTGTCAATATATTTGATTTTAAGGCTACAAATGGCTTTCCATAATTTTTAAGTCCAACTTAGAGTTAAGTTCAACTTAAAATCTTTGTGAAACACTCCCCAGGTCGGAAAGTTCAACATTTGATTTAGTTTTTAGTAGTAGAAGTAGTAGCTCTACACAGAGCAAATTTATTTTTCATTTCTTTTCACATAATAGACAATACTAAACGTAATGATATAATAGAAATGAGCATTGAAATATCTTTGACATTGTTTTTTAGTCATTGTAATGCAAAATGATTTAATTACAGGAAATGAAAAAAACTAACCTACTTGAAAGCAAAGCTTGTTAGATGTAGGTTCACACAATCATAATTATACTTTATACATTTATAATTTAATTTTGAAAAAAATTACGGAATCAAAAAAACATGACAGACAATAAAAAACAAACAATTAAACGAGACAACAAAAAAAAATCAGAAACATTAGCAGAATGACAATGACAGGATGATGATGATAAATGAAGAAAATAAGAATGAGAGAGTAAAAAACAGAAAAGGTGGAAAACAGATAAATAAATTAGTGCCAATTACACCCAAGCCCCAAATTATTCATCCAAAGGTCTTGGGCTTTTAGATGAAGGATCTATATCCAATCAAAAAGGTATTCCATTTTTTAAATACCATTCTTTGTAGTATAAATACATGGTAGTGCTCAATATTCACAGGAGCCCCGGACCGGGATACTTGGGTGCCCAAAATCTTCCTCTAGATCCCTAAAATTTCTAAATTTTGCAAAGGTACAGAACATATGTAGGGTGTTTGCATACCGATTTCTAAAAATTATTTCTGGACCCCCTGTGAGAAAAAAATGAGTGTGAGAGCCCCATGGTCTAAAGTGTGATTGTCCTTTCTTGCAGCAATCAAAACTAAAAAATAGAAATCGGGCAAAATAGTTTTAATGCCCTTCCGCAGGGCACAAAATGATACCTGCGAAGGAAGGAGATGGTGCCTTACCGGGCTAACAGTAGCTTCGTCGTTGTGAGATGTTTCCTGTCCACTGCGGCCAGGAGAGGGGTCATTCCATACTTGACCGGTATCTCTATATTCGCTCCATTGTCCAGCAGCAGTGCCACAATCTCATCATGTCCACTGTAACACAAGAGAATTCATAATAACAATAGTTAAACATATTTGTATAGTGCATAACACATAGGCATGATTGCATGTCTCTATGCGCTTTACAGAACAGACTACAGAAGGAGTGGAAATGGAGCGCTGGGTTCATAGTTGTGAGACCTTACGAAGTGCTGAATAAATATTTGTTTTAATTAGTCCATGATCAAAGCTTACATAGATTTGAAACATTTGTAACCTCATCTTATGTGGAGCTTTTGCAATCATTCATTTCCCTTTTTTTGTATCTTTCTTTCTTTTTGCCTTCTACTATTTTCCTCCATTTTTTCCTCTCTTTTATTTTTCCCCCCCCCCCAAAATCTATACTTTCTTAGCTACACATTTTGTCTATCTATTGATTTTCTAAGCATACTTTGTTCATGTTATATTGTAAAACAGCATCTGAGGAACTAACACTTCAACAGGCTCTGCTTCTAGTTAGTTCCTCTTTTCTCTTGCTTTTTTTCCCTATCATATTTGTCTTTTCGTTGCATATTTTTGTAATATAATTATTCATTGTATTATGTTTTGCATGAGAAATAAAATCAATTGAATCAGTACGCATATTCACAATGACTTTGCATTCCACTATCTCCTTTTCTACCGGCTGTATGTTTATATAGATGTATATCAAGTTACTATGACAGCGATAAGAAAGCATAAGGTTCATGTAAAGGTGATTGATAAATATTTTGTGAGCTTTGGCATTCTTTTCAATTTCTAGAGATCAGTTCCCCTTAAGATTTTTTTCATAGTTTGTGGAACTTAAAATAAAGACTTTTTGGCTGGAATGCAGCCTTCTTTCTGGTTCATACTGTATTAACAATAATCCTTAAAGGTCCCTGACACCAGAAAACAGATATAGGAGATAAGGCAATTTTTTCAGGTATTGCCCCCAAAGATATGGAAGATATGGAATTCCTTATCCCTTGAATGAAAGAATTGCAAATCTCTGGCAACTTTCAAAATTTTTCTTAAAAAGCATCTTTTTTACTTTCTTTGTATTTTTTCTTTCTTTTCAGCATTCAATTTTTAAAATTGAAGTATCTTCACTGCTGTTAATGTGCTATGCACATCTTGAAAGGGTGCTTTATAAAACACTAAAGCCTTGTTTCCTACATGGCACAGTAAACCCCTTTTTCAAATGCCACAGGAAGATGAATATTTCTTTGTCTAAATAATGAAAGGCAAGTGGAGGTAAAAACAAATCTAGAAACAAATCTAGAAACAAATCTAGAAATAAATCTGAGAAGCAAAATGAATATCTTAAGATAAATCTTTATCCAATTATAAATTTAATACACAAGCAAAATAAGCATTCAATCTATTCTTAAACTGAATGGGCTTATTGGAGATTTGCTATCATTGAGGTCTTTTTATGAGCTTAAATATTTTTCTTTCTAGTCTCTAAATTCAGACCTTTTATGAGCTTTCTTTAGCTGATCTCTCTCGCTATATTTATATTTCTTTCACCATACTTACATCTTTCAATAATAATATCAATAATTGATTGTTCATTTGTATAACCACTCAACATATAATGCTAGAATCTCATTTATAATGATAATAATAGCTTTCATTTATAATGAACCTAATACTTTGTTTCTAGGTGCAGTACATATTATTACCCCGGTCATCGAATTCAGGCTTACCTGCACACAATGTATGCACATTCTCCACTCCTTGGAGAGCATTCCGGCCATTTGCCATTTTACAAGCTTCACTTGCTTATCCAACCACATTATCTTTTGCATCCTACTGGGTGGAGAGTTGCCAATGTAGATTAATGTCTTGCCAAAGGACATTAGTGCCGTGACGGGACTTGAACCCTGTACCATGCGATCTGCATTTGGGTGGCTTATCCACTAGACCACAACACCTTAACAAATTATACATACAACTTTCAATCACATTCTATATAAACAAAGTGACCTTTGACCTACCCATTTGCAGCCCAGAAGAGTGGTGTTCCTTTCCTCTCGCTATCCCTGCAGTTGATGTCAGTCCGTCCTGCACACAGGATCCGACGGACCTGGGTTAGGTTACCAGTCTTAGCGGCCTCTATCAAGGTTGCCATAGCTACCAGCTGACATGGGCGATCAATGAAATATTTGTTCTCACTTCATACCCTTTATAGGTGGCACAACCTCCATTCTGTAAAAAAACAAAGTAGAAAACAAATTAAAGGTGATGCAAAGTTTCAGGAATTTTGAAAATTGGATTGATAGTAATTCTTTAAAATGTTGATATATTTGGATGCCCCTGTGGATGTATTATAAGAACTAGAAAATTCAGCCCCTAAAATACTTTCGCTTTCGAGAAATTGAATAATAAAAAATTTACAGGTGCTCCCGGTAAATTTCAAATATTTCTAATAGCGCCTAAGGCCATTCCATGCTAGCTGCGATCATGAAAATCTCAGAATATGCAGTTCTGATACATAATTTCCAAACGGGAATAGCAAATCGGTTGATTGTAGTCAAGAAACATTGTTTTTCTTTTTTTTTAAATCAAGAATGAAAGGTGGACTGGTTAAAATTGGGGGCTTTGTCAAATACTTTTCGGTGAAAGCTTTAATAGTTCACATTCTAATGTGAAACATAAATTGAGAAAAATCATTTTTTCATCTACCCTAAAATATTACAAAATTTGGTAACAGTATGAATCATTTAGTTGTTAACGGTACATATTTCCTGGTGGGACGAAGAGTGATTGAAATAAAAGTCAAATTTGCCATTGTACACATACTACATAATGATAATTTAAAACATTTTTGTTCTGTTTGCCTCTGATGAGGTGTTTTTTCAATTTTCAACAATAATCATAATTTCACAAACAATTAGGTAAAGCAATGGGACATCAATAAAACAAATAATATTTGTTTAGATATAATTAAACAAATTTGCAGGAAAGTTCATATTTTGTACTTTCAAATGTTCATTTATTTTTAGACTGTGAGTCATTTCTCTTTTCAATAAATATATCGAATTCAAATCCCTATATCATACCCATAATTATTATGAAAAATAATAATTTTTACAAATAAACCAAAAAGACCAAAATGCAATTGTCAATAATTAAAAACATACTTCAAGCAATCAAATAAACCCATGCTAAAAAGGAGTGAACATCACCTTTTACCATATATGGTCATGTTTTTTTGAGCGCACATCTCCCCCCTTTTACCATCAAAGAGATAATGAAATTTCAGCAATGCAAATTGCCTTATAAGGAATACTTGTTTGGTTGTCAAGCTAACAAAAGCACATGCTTTTGAGCAGATCTCTATTAATAACTTATTGATACAATAAACTGTTGAACTATAAAGCAAATAATCTAAGCCACTATTTGCCTGGGGCTTATTCTCCTTCTCTAGCTAGGTCCACACGAAAGTCTGTACAAAAATGCTATATATTGAATTTGAATGGGTTTATTAAAAAAATTAACATGAAATGGAGCTCAAAGTCGATACTGTAAAAAATAAAACAATGGCAACATCACACAGCAATATCATAAAAATATTTAGAAAAATGTTTCCAAAATGCGGATAAGTAGCCACCTAACAATCAAGTATTTGGTATGTGGTTTTAAATTTCAAGGTTATCTCATAGTTAATGCACCCTGAAAATGCACCGTAGTATAAAAAACCTTCAGTTTAATCTTCAAAGTTATAAACAATGAGCAAATCTTGAGGTTGACATGATTACTAGGAGCTAGCTGCAAGAGGTCCCAGCTCAAAGTTTTTGAGAATGCAGTTAAATTCAAGGTTTCCCCGGCCTGCAATAAGAATGACTGCTTGCCAAGCTGGAAGTTCAAACCTGTAAATGTTCCTTGTTTTGGTGTTATCGGTACGTGTAAACCTGTGTGAATAGTAAGTTATCGTTTAAAAATTTACGGTTGTGCTAACTTTAATAAAGTTAAACTGCGATAGCCTCGTGCGAACATAGCATTGTTATGGAATGTACTAGCCATGGAGACCTACATTCAAAATAAAGAAACTTTGAATCAAGAAGCAAACGTCACTGATTTAAAATGACTACTTCCTCAATTTAGTCTTTGTTCAGACTCTCTGATGCATCTCAAACTGAGCTAGATTACAAACATAATGTCGTCTTGCAACATTAATCATGAATAAGGTCTGGAGAGAAACCCCAGGTTCTTTAATTTCAAAGGTCATAACGTTATTTCTTTTCTTTTTACATAACTTGTGCGTGCAGTACATTGATCAAAATAAGTCAATGACTTGAATCAGTGATGGTAGGATCCACAAATTGATGTTCATTGAATTTGAATTTTTGTATTATTTGTTATGAAGTAAAGGAACAACATGATGAGGTCTAATAATCAAAATGCAAAGAAAAGGTTGAGATTTGCCTTAATATGAATGAGAAATCTAAGAAGTCCTGACAAATTATTTGATACATGTGAAAGGCAAATCTAACAAACTTATTTGCCTGCAAAAGCCCTGACAAATAACTTGATGTAAATTTCCATTACATAAAACGCAAACTTTTATTTGCTTGACCATTGAAGCGGAATCTGAAAAGTCCTGACAAATTATTTGATACATGTGAAAGGCAAATCTAACTAACTTATTTGCCTCAAAAGCCCTGACAAATAACTTGATGTAAATTTCCATTACATAAAACGCAAACTTGTATTTGCTTGACCATTGCAGCGGAATCTGAAAAGTCCTGACAAATTATTTGATACATGTGAAAGGCAAATCTAACTAACTTATTTGCCTGAAAAGCCCTGACAAATAACTTGATGTAAATTTCCATTACATAAAACGCAAACTTTTATTTGCTTGACCATTGAAGCGGAATCTGAAAAGTCCTGACAAATTATTTGATACATGTGAAAGGCAAATCTAACTAACTTATTTGCCTCAAAAGCCCTGACAAATAACTTGATGTAAATTTCCGTTACATAAAACGCAAACTTTTATTTGCTTGACCATTGAAGCGGAATCTGAAAAGTCCTGACAAATTATTTGATACATGTGAAAGGCAAATCTAACTAACTTATTTGCCTGAAAAGCCCTGACAAATAACTTGATGTAAATTTCCGTTACATAAAACGCAAACTTTTATTTGCTTGACCATTGAAGCGGAATCTGAAAAGTCCTGACAAATTATTTGATACATGTGAAAGGCAAATCTAACTAACTTATTTGCCTCAAAAGCCCTGACAAATAACTTGATGTAAATTTCCGTTACATAAAACGCAAACTTTTATTTGCTTGACCATTGAAGCGGAATCTGAAAAGTCCTGACAAATTATTTGATACATGTGAAAGGCAAATCTAATTAACTTATTTGCCTGAAAAGCCCTGACAAATAACTTGATGTAAATTTCCGTTACATAAAACGCAAACTTTTATTTGCTTGACCATTGAAGCGGAATCTGAAAAGTCCTGACAAATTATTTGATACATGTGAAAGGCAAATCTAACTAACTTATTTGCCTGAAAAAAGCCCTGACAAAAAACTTGATGTAAATTTCCATTACATAAAACGCAAACTTTTATTTGCTTGACCATTGCAGACGAATCTGAAAAGTCCTGACAAATTATTTGATACATGTGAAAGGCAAATCTAACAAACTTATTTGCCTGAAAAGCCCTGACAAATAACTTGATGTAAATTTCCATTACATAAAACGCAAAATTATTTGATAATGCAAATTTAAGTTCACACAAACTTACCGGTACAGGTACATTAGTCTGAGCTGGAAGATTGAATGATAGGCAATAGCTATTATGTGCATGGAGGAGATCAATGCATGGGCCGTCCACAATCAAAACGTCCATAGATTTGAAACGTTTGTGACCCGGCCTATTTCGACTATCTTCTTTTCTACGAGCTGTATGTTTATAAACATGTATATCAAGTTACTTTAATAGTGATAAGAAAGCAGAAGGGTCAGGTAAAGGTGATTAATAATATTTTGAGAGCTTTGGCATATTCTTTTCTAATTTCTAGACAGGTTCAGACAAAAGAAAGTCTGTTAAGTTTTAGGTTGTGATTTAAAACTGAAGAATTGACGATATCTTGTTGTTAGGGACCATACTGATGCACTTTTTGTAACAAAACTTTTAGTTAACTCAAAGTTACAAACCTTCTATTGAAAGTAATTTATTTTTAGATTGGACTTGCCCTTTAAGGTTAACGCGATAACTACGAGCAGCGGGATTCCTCACTCGAAGTTATGTGCTGTGAGGATGTTATTAACTTCAAGGTTACACTTATAGTATAAATGAATGCTTTTCCCTGGTTAACTTAGAATAACTATTGTTTCGGTCCAGTGTGAACCCTCATCTTTGTTATTGGTTCGTTGTTTACAATTTTGAGGTTTGTAAACTTAAAGTTGAAACAATAGATCTGTTTAAACATATACCTTCTGAGTAGAATAGAAGAATATCATAACAGCAATATCACAAGTAAAGCATTGCTCTTGAAATGCTCCTGTATGACTAGAAATAGTTAAAAACTTTTGACAACATTTTGATGCCACATTGCAGCGTAGTCCCCTGTACCCATATACACAGTATCTGTGTGCAGTGATTTTCACTCCAGATGCAATTTTCTGCAAGACTGAGTAAATTTTGTATCATTAATAAAATAATAATTAGACCAATTTATATAGCACAGCTACTCCATCAATATACTCTACTGCATTGCGACGAAAACAGAACTCCTACTTTACAGACACACAATAAATTTAATGAGGTGATTCCATATTTGCCACTCCCAGTTACTTTAAAATTATTCCTTTCACAATATGTTTTCATGATCAAAATAGTCAGCTAATGTGAGTCATTGTTATACATTTATGGCCATTTATGATGGGGGAAGAAGGTGCAAAGTACCGGTTTCAAAATCGGAAATATTAGCAGTATATAAATATTTGAATTACATTTTAAACATGCAAATATTAACACTGAGAATCAATTTAAATCTAGTAATTGATGGACTAAGGTCAACAACAAAAATGAGGAAGTTTGTTTAAGGGGGTCAGATTCCTATTGAAGAGCAAATAAAAAGCAGTTTACAACTAGCTAGGACATGTAATATCCTTCTTCTTATTCTTCAAGCAGTTCAATTTGTTTTCTTCTGCTTGCAACTAGCTAGGATATGTGTTTAGCCTTC